CTCTCAACCCCTCAATTCCTCAGCCCCTCAGCCCCTTAAACCCGAAACCGCTCAACCCTCCAAACCCCTGCCCCAAGCCCTACACCCCTACGTAACTTAAGCCCTACCAAACCCTAACCCCTAAACCCCCAAAACCCCCTAAACCCCCTAAACAACCCCTAAACCCCCTAAACCCCCTAAACCCCCTAAACCCCCTAAACCCCTAAACCCAAACCCCTAAAAACCCCTAAACCCCTAACCCCTAAAGCCCTAAAAAAACAAAAAAAAACCCTTAAAAACCCCTAAACCCCCTAAACCCTAAACCCCTAAAACCCCTAAACCCTAAACCCCCCCTAAACCCTAAACCCCAACCCCCTAAACCCCCTAAAAACCCCCAAAACCCCAAAACCCCAAAACCCCTAAACCCCTAAAAAAACCCCTAAACCCCTAAACCCCTAAACCCCTAAACCCCTAAACCCCTAAACCCCTAAACCCCTAAACCCCTAAACCCCTAAACCCCTAAACCCCTAACCCCTAAACCCCTACACCCCTAAACCCCTAAACCCCTAAACCCCTAAACCCCTAAACCCCTAAACCCCTAAACCCTAAACCCTAAACCCTAAACCCCCAAACCCCTAAGCCGAGGATCCCAAGACCCAGGATGCCCTGGAACGGCTCAACGCCGAGCAGCAGAAAAAGGCGGCTGGGTTTAGGGTGTCGGGTTTGGGGGTTTAGGGTTTAGGGTTTAGGGTTTAGGGTTTAGGGTTGCAGGGTTGCAGGGTTGCAGGGTTTGAGGGTTTTAGGGTGTTAGGGTGTTTGGGGGTTCTAGGGTTTCCGGTTTCGGGCTCTAGGGGTTTCAGGGTGTTAGGGTTCAAAGCTTTTTGTTGTTTTTTTTTTTTTTTTTTTGGGGGGGGGGGGGTTAGGGTTTCAGGGTCTTCTGGGGTTCAGGGTGTAGGGTCTTGCGGTGTAGGGTACGGCATGGGGCATGATGAATCGAGGCTCGGTAGGGGGGTTCAAGGGGGGTATGTAACCCAAGGTTCCCTAATACTCCCCACTACTCCCTAAGGCTCCCTAAGCTTCTTTAAGGTTTCCTAGGTACCTACCCCCCTTGAACCCCCCTCCCTTAAGAACTCTATAATCCCAAAAGCCCAACCCAAAACTGCCCTAGACTCGCCCCCCCCCCCCCCCCCCGGCAACAAAAAGCCCTAAGCCATACACCCTAGACCCGAAGCCCTAAACGGCCCTAAACCCTAAACCCTAAGCCCCCCTCCCTTTTGAGACTCAAAATCTCGTAGCGGCCCTGTTTCGTGAGCACCCACCTTCGGCAGGTCATGGGTACGGATGGTGGCGAGAACAGCTTTTACCTGAAAGACAAGGCCGTCTTTCTTCTAAACCCTAAACCCTAAATTCTAAACCCCTAAACCCTATATTATATATACATATATATATATATTTATTTATTTATTTGTTTTTTTATTTATATGTATATGCATATATGTAAAGGTGCGTGTGTGTATATACCCCCCCCCCCCCCCAACCCCCCCGGCAGAAAAAAGAATCACCCACCTGGCCTTCAGGATTCCAGGTTTTGTTGGCGTTTAGGGTTGAGTTTGATGCATAGGTTTGGGGCTGAGAGTTTAGGGTTTAGAGTTTGGGGTTTAGGGTTTAGGGTTTAGAGTTTAGGGTTTAGGGTTTAGGTCTTGGGGTCTTTTTGGGCTTAGGGGCTTGGAGGTGGGGGTGTTGAGCCCTAGACATCCCAGCACTGGGCCCAATGAAGGGCACCCCTTTTTGATGTTCCCGCTAATTCTAACAGTCTTTAACAGTGATTAGAATGGGGGGGGGGGGTACTCTAATCCCGTTTAAGGACTGTTAGTATAATAAGGGGGAACCTCCCAAGGCACCCCCTTTTTTTCTTTCTTTCTAAGAGGAGTAGATGAAGCCGGGCACCTCTTTTTCATTCTTTCTAAGAGCAGCCCAGCATACCCCACCCTTAACCTTAATGGGTCCTTGAAAGGAGAATTTTGTGGGAGGATTCTAGCACACCCCCTCAACTTCCTCAAAGGGTACGCCTGCGGGGTCTGTTGCCCTAAACCCTAAACCCTACACCCTACACCCTACACCCTACACCCTACACCCTACACCCTAAACCCTAAACCCTAAACCCTAAACCCTAAACCCTAAACCCTAAGCCGATTTCGTCAGGTTATTGGGCCCTAACCTCGTCCTGGGCCAAGGTGAAAAGCACCAACGCCGTGGTCATGTCCCGCATACGGCGCCTCTGAGCCGTGCGGAGGGGTCTCTATACCCTGAGTGAGCTATTAGGCCTTCTAATCCCCTAACCCTTTTAAGGGCCTTTCTAAGGGGGTTATAGAAGAGAATAGCCCATGTAGGTATCCTGAGTGAGGCGTTTTGGGTTGGGATTTTGGGTTTAGGGTTTAGGGTTTAGGGATCTTAGGTTTAGGTTTAGGTTTAGGTTTAAGTTTAGGGTTTTGAGTTTTGGGTTTTGGGTTTAGGGTTTGAAGGATTTAGGTTGTTTAGGACTGAGTGTTTCTAACAATCTCCTCTTAAATCCTTCATGAACCCGCTGAAACCCCTGTACTTCCGTGCCGTGCGCGGATTGGCGCCAAGCCAAAGGTGTTGCAGAAGGGCAAAACGCAAACCCGAACTCTCTCCCACATTCTCGAAGAGGGTTTAGGGTTTAGGGTTTAGGGTTTAGGGTTTAGGGTTTAGGGTTTAGGGTTTAGGGTGGTCATGATGCTTAACATAGGTCTTGTGGTAGTTACATGGGCTCGTAGTATGGGCCCTTAGTTCTGGAACCTTTATATAACCTTTATCTGTAACCTATACATCCAAGGGCCCATACTTCAGAGCCCTTTAAGGATAAGGGGCCACAATAAGGGACCATGTAGTTACCCTTAGAAGAAGGGTAGTTCTCTAAAGTTGATCCCTTTGTATTTTCAGAGTGCCGTGATGTATAGGGGACCCAAAAAGGGTGCCCAAATAGAGAACTACCCAAAAACATCCAGCACTATTATGCGTATTCTGCTTCGTATCTTTTCTGAAATGAAACGTGTGGTCATCATGCTTTGTTACACTATTACTATGCTTATTCGTGTTTTTATGAGTAGGATTATCATTCTTTGTTGTACGTCAGAGTCGGGCCTTCCCAAGCCCCAGGCCTAAACCCTAACGCCTAAACCCAACCCTAAACCCTAATCCCTAAACCCCTAAACCCTCAACCTTAAGCCCATGCCCCTAACCCGCAAACCCCCAAACCCCAAATCTTAAATCCTAAAGCCCTAAACCTTAAAGCCCTACACCCTAAAACCCTGGACCTGAAACTATATAGCCTAAACCCGAAACCCTAAACCAAAAAACCCCAAACAAAAACCCTAAACCTTCAGGGTTCATTCCTGCCACTCCGCGCGCAAAGCCTGGGCAGGGCCATATACATGAGGGGTCTCGTTGCCAGGGTGGGCAAGTCTTGGCAAGGAAGAGGAGGGTTCAGACCCCAAACCCTATCTAGGGTTTAGGGTTTAGGGTTCAGGGCCTCAAGCCTCAAACCCGATAACTTGGGGCTCTAGGAACGCCTGGGGCTGGCCTTCACCCAATGTTCGCGTTCAATGTTTACTGGGTTGAGGGGCTTCCTAGGCTTACCGCGGCAGAGGGTGTCGGCCTCATCCTTGGCAGGTGACGGTTCCCACTGCTTCAGCCCAGCATCCCCAAACCCCCAAACCCTAAATTTCCGGAACTCCATCAATCCTGGGTTTTGGAGTACTAGACTTTAATACTTGCTCTGTTGGGTTCGGGGTTCCCCATTATAGCTTCTTCTCCTAAAAAGTACATACATTTTTCCCTAAACCCTAAACCCTAAACCCTAAACCCTAAACCCTAAACCCTAAACCCTAATAGGGTCTACTCCAAAGTAGGGATCCTAGAGGACCCTATGCCAGCCCCCGCACGAGCGACTCCCTCTTGGCCTTTGGTTAGGATTGCGGGGCCTGCATGGGGTTCCGAACACCCTAAGTCCTGAGACCCTGAACCCTCGTGTGGGTTGAGGGTTTAGGGTTTAGGGTTTAGGGTTTAGGGTTTAGGGTGTAGCGGGTTCCAGACTCTTGTAAGCAAGCTGTCATCGCCGTTTGCCCACCCTTGCGGGCCCAGCGAGCTTGACCGCAGCGGTTAAAAGTCTAAACCCTAAACCCTACACCCTAAACCCTAAACCCTAAGGCCTAAACCTGGTAGGCTAAGGCTTCAGGGTTTCGGGCTGGGGGTTTAGGGTTCAGGGTTTAGGGTCTAGTGCATGGGGTTTAGGCTTTGATCAGGGTGTCCGGGCGACTCGCTTGGCAAAGTTAGGCACCATGCTCACCTTGGAAAACTGCAGTTTCGTTGGGTCTCCTGAGTCCCTAAACACGAAGCTCTAAATTTATATAAGAGTAGTTCTCCAAATTATAGGGTCCCTGTGGGGGGTCCTTTATAAGGTCCCGTACTATAGGGGGTCCTTGCAAAAGGGAACCTAAATTACAGACCTCCCGCCCGTTTCTTCGGCAGGTGGCTTGTTGGAGTGTTAGGGTTTAGGGTTTAGGGGTTTAAGGGTTTAAGGGTTTAAGGGTTTAAGGGTTTAAGGGTTTAAGGGTTTATGGGTTTAAGGGTTTAAGGGTTTAAGGGTTTAAGGGTTTAAGGGTTTAAGGGTTTAAGGGGTTCGGGCATTCAGGGGTCTAGAGTTTCTTTCCTTGAGCTTTGCCTTTACCCGAGCCCGAAGCGCAAAACCCCCTGAACAGGCCCAGCCGAATCAAAACCTCAGCCCCGAAACCCTGTGAACCTACTTACCCCGAAACCCTCAACCCTACACCCCAAAAACCCAAAGCCCCAAACCCTAAAACCCCAAACCCCCCAAAACCCTACTAAGCCCTGCTAAACCCTGGATTCGAAACCCGAAGGCCCCCAGCTCCAGTCTTCGAGATCCCCACTTCTTTCATGGGCTCGAGAAGCGATCGTCATCGGAGTCCCATAGGAGACGCGCCATGGCGCAAACGGGCAATGAAGCACTTGACGGTGCCACGCAGGACTGTGGCCCTGCCACGGGGGGGGGGGGGGTCCCTCCAAAATCTCTTGTGCTCATGCTCATGGGTACCCCCGCTCCTAGGTTTCCCCCCCTCCTAAATGGCCTTAATTTTTGGGGGAACCTTGGGGGTGGGGGTGGGGTAGTATAGAGGGTCGTAGGAGAACCCATGAAGTGGCATTTCTGCTGTTTTTGTTTCTCAAGCTTCCTTTTGGGCCTGCTGCCGCAAAACCCTAGGGACCAAACGAGCCCGGAAATCCCATTTAGGTCAAATTTAGGTTTAGGGTTGAGGGTCTATAGAGTTTCGGCGCAGGGTATTCGCACTCCCATGCAGGGGCTATATGTGGGCTACTTGGGAAGCAGGATCGAAGAGCTCAAGTGACCTTGGGGACGTATGGACGTAGCGTTGCCTGCTTACTATGTCTTAGCAAGTGGTCGGAGGTGCCTCTTCTCCTTCTTTCTCTACTTCTCTACGACACCACCTCATTCTTTCCCTATCTCCGTCTTTCAGAACCCGCAAGCCATGTCGCGGTTGCCGAAATTAAATTTTATTAGGGGAACCTTATTGGGGTCCTTACGATAAAGGAATCCTACTACTTGGGGACTCAATTGGGGGTCCCTTCTTCGTAAACCCCAAATGTGGTGCCCCATTTCAGGACACCTGCCCTAAACCCCAAACCCCAAACCCTGAACCCTAAACCCCAAACCCCAAACCCCAAACCCCAAACCCTAAACCCTAAACCCTAAACCCCAAACCCCAAACCCTAAACCCTAAACCCTAAACCCTAAACCCTGCCTCGAAGGACTTCTCGGACCCCACGGACCCCCGGGCCGGCTCAAAGAGCCATCACAAGAAGCTCGGTGGGCCCTTTTGGGGCATGTTTATCTTTTCCCCGGTTCGGTTGAATATTACCCTAAACCCTAAACCCTAAACCCTAAACCCTAAACCCTAAACCCTAAACCCTAAACCCTAAACCCCAAACCCCAAACCCTAAACCCTAAACCCTAAACCCTAACCATCCCAGGAAGATGAAGTTGGCTGGCAGCTTCGTGCACTCCACCGAGCCCAGGGATCACCATTGCGCCAGGCTCCGGAAACTCCTCGGCAGCATTCACCTGGCCAACATCATGGCCCTTGTGGTTCTGGTGGATGCATATTGAACCTTGGGGGTGCAAAAGTCAGGAGCTTTTTTAAAATCCCTTCTGGGCTTTCCTTGGGGTGCAAGGGTAAAGAACCTTGTTTTTTTTTTTTTTAATCTCTTTTGGGTTTTACTTAGACTCCTCTAAGACACCCAATCCTGTCTTCCCCCCACACAGCAAACTCAGCCAGCACAGGCACGTGCGTTGACATCGACGCCAGGGCAGAGGGCGTTCACACGCCCGACATCTTCACGACGCTCTCAACGATGTGTCTGATGATGTACACTCTGGAGGCAGCGGCCTTGCTTCTTGCCTTTGGCCCGAGGCAGTTCTTCAGCGACTGGATAGGGACGCTCGATGTGATCATCGTGTCGTGCGGCTGGGCGGAGAGCCTTGGGGACGAAATGAACCCCAAGATTGGGGTCATATACCCGGACTACTATAATTCCTTTAAGGTATGTGAACCCAAAAATTGGGGTCATATACCCTGACTACTATACTTCCTTTTAAGGTATATGAACCCTAAACCCTTTTTAAGGGTCATTTCGTCCCCAAGGAAGGTCATAACTGCAGCCGCCATGGTCGGCTCAATTGGCTTTCGCACGGCAGTGCTGCGCGCTCTGCGCCTGGTGAGGATTGTCCGCCTCTTGCGGTCATTGAGACTTCGCCACGCATTCAGGGTGCAGGGTTTAGGGGTTTAGGGTTTAGGGTTCAGGGTTTAGGGTTTAGGGGTTAGGGTTTCTGGTTTAGGGTTTAGGGTTTAGGGTTTAGAGTTTAGGGTTTAGGGTGTTCGAGTGACTAGCGTGTTGGCTACGAATTAGCCGCCAAGCGCGCATGTTGGATAAGCCTCAATCGAACTGAAGCGCCGCTTCCGCTGGATGCATGAGTACTCTTGAGGACCAAATGAACCCTAACAAAGGGGTCATATATCCTGACTACCACAATTCCTTCTAAGGTAGATAATCCATAAGCCCTTTTAGGGTTCACTTTGTCCCCAAGGTACATCTGTGTCCAGGGATTAGGAACTCTACACGCTTCCTTTTTTCTTGAAATGCAGAAAAATGGGCCCGACAGCCAAGGAAGAGGATCCGAGCCCTGAAAGAGCTGTACAAGCTGGCTCTCATGATGGCCACGTGCTTCAAGGCCCTGCTCTGGTGCTTTCTGCTCTGCTTCATGGTGATGACCGCGCCTTGGGGACCCTAAATACACACATGTTGTAGGGGGTTTAGGGTTTAGGGTTTAGGGTTTAGGGTTTTAGGGTTTTAGGGTTTTAGGGTTTTAGGGTTTAGGGTTTAGGGTTTAGGGTTTAGGGTTTAGGGTTTAGGGCTACTGGCACTTTGGGGGACGAAGGAGACATCAACCCAATACCGATGTGCTTTCAAGGGCTTTTATGGTGCACCTGACCGGGGATTAGCGCGATGTAGGGCACAGGCGCGATTCCGATTTTGGGTTCACTATACCCTAAACCCGAAACCCGAAAACCCTAAATCCTAGACCCTAGACCCTAGACCCTAGACCCTAGACCCTAAACCCTAAACACTAAACCCTAAACCCTAAACCCTAAACCCTAGCCCTAAACCCTAAACCCTAACCCCTCAGCCCAAGGTGTGGGCCATGCTGATGGTGGAAGTCGTCAGCCCGTATGTAAGGGGGATGAGCGTCTTCAGCAGCTGTCCACAATGCACGCGGGCTGTGAGTTCCGTCCCCTGGGCATCAGGTTTAGTCCCTAAACTTTAGTGTGTAGGGTTTAGGGTTTAGGGTTTAGGGTTTAGGGTTTAGGGCGAGGGTTGAGGGCTTAGGGTTTAGTGTTTAGGGTTTATTAACCGTTGACTCTATAGGCGTTTTGGGATTTTTGGACTCTACGCGCGTCCCCAACAGCGGGAACTTTTAGGGAAAAGGGATGTCGGGTTTGTGGTCTAGGCTTCTAAGCCCTTAGCCCCTAAACCCTGCGCCCTAAACCCTAAACCATAAACCCTAAACCCTAAACTCTAAACCCTCAACCCGAACCCTAAACCCTACCCTCTTAAGCCAGCTGAGGTGATGGATGCGAATCTGCTGCTGTTCAAAACGGTGATTGCTGGCGATTCCTGGGGCGAAGTGGCTGTTCCCGTCATGCAGGAACGGTCGGGGGAGGGCCGGAGGAAGTCTAAACCCTAAACCCTAAACCCTAAACCCCAAACCCTGGACCCTAGACCCTAGACCCTAAACCCTAAACCCTGAACCCTAAACCCTAAACCCTAAACCCTAAACCCTAAACCCTACACCCTACACCCTAAACCCTACCGATTGCTGAAAGCAGCTTGTGTTGTGGAGCTCGAAGTGATCCTACACTTCCACAATCACTCAGCCATCTCGTATCTTTGCGACTGCCTTCCGGGGAAGCCCTGGTACCCCTAAACCTTAGACCCTAAACGGGGGGGGGGGGGGTGCGAGGTTTAGGCTTTGGGTTTCTCTTGGTTTAGAACAGCGTCCAAAATGCACGTGCATATAAGGGTGCGTTCAGGGGCCTTTGTGGCAGCAACCTGCAAGAGAGTAGGTGCTGGGATACCCTAAACCCTGCACCAGGAGTATCCTGGGACGGCCATCATCTTCATCGGCTCTTTGCTGTCGCTGGTCTTTGGCGTTCTGAATCTTATTGCGGCTTCTTCTGCAGAAAGTGAGGGGTTTAGGGTGGAGGCCTTGGGATGAGGGCAGTGCTATAGGACTTAGGGTGCTTCTAAACCCTAAACCCCAAACCCTAAACCCCAAGGCCTAAACCCTAAACCCTAAACCCTAAAGGGTTGAGGGTTGAGGGTTCACGGAGGCTGGAACCCTCAGATTTCTTCTTTTGCTTGTCCGCTGCCCCAAAAAATACCTGGCTCAGCGGATCTCTGGATTCGATCGAATGGTAGGGTTCAGGGGTTTAGGTTTGGGGTTCAGGGTTCAGGGTTCAGCCCTAGGGACATTTTATATTTTCAGTATTCGGTTGAAGAGGATGATCTTTCGGAAGATTTCTCAGAGGGTGCTAGCTGGGTTGTTAGTAGAAAGACCCTTTGAAGGATTCTCAGGCAACAGGTTAGGTTCTTACTTTTCTGGGCTGGAAATGGGATCAGGGTTCAGGGTTTCGGGTCCAATGCAGAGACCCTAACAGTGGGAAGGATTTGGGGCTTAATGGAGGTATTTGAGCCCTCCCTCGCCCTTGCTATGGGCAGCAGCGGCTCCCTTGCCACCTTGGTATGGGGTCTTCTCGTGCTTTAGTAGAGGGTTTATATAAAGGGTTTTCTAGATGGGGTTTAATAGGGTTTTATGGGGGTGTTATAGGGCTTGAAAGGGTCCTTCATAGGGCTTTAGTTGGGTTTTATAGGCTATTATGGGGCTTTACAGGGTGTTATGAGTTTTTATAGGCTGTATAGAGTTTGATGAGGCTCTTAGGGCTTGGGTAGCCAAAAGGCTCACCATGCAGGTTTTTAGGGTTTAGGGTTTAGGGTTTAGGGTTAGGGTTTAGGGTTTAGGGTTTAGGGTTTAGGGTTTAGGGTTTAGGGTTTGGGGTTTGGGGTTTAGGGTTTAGGGTGTAGGGTTTAGGGTTTAGGGTTTAGGGTTTAGGCTTCTGGCGGTCATGTGCTGCTACCCGGCTGTTGGCGATCTCGGTGTTGAGGGCTCAATGATGTCGCAGGCCTTTTTTTCTTAAAATGCGCCGGGGGCTACGATGTTCAACTGTTGGTCTAAACCCTAAACCCTAAACCCTAAACCCTAAACCCTAAACCCTAAACCCTAAACCCTAAACCCTAAACCCTAAACTGGAGGTCGCCGTTGTGGTCGACACCTTCGCAGATGCTCGGCAACATGACGTCCAGAGCTTGGCTGAAGAGATGGAGGTGGAGATCGACCATGATCGACACTCGCCGTCCTGCAATTCCTGGGACCCTCTTTGCCTGCGTTATATGAAGCAGGGTTTATATGACTGTTTCTGGTGAGTGTACATAAGGTTCTTTTGGGGATACAAGAAATATAAGCCCTACTTCATATAGGTTGTACCTACTAGATTCAGGGTATTCTACCTACAGCTTTTTATGGGTCGTACCTACTAATTCAGGGTGTTCTACCTACAGCTTTATGGGCTGTACCTACTAGTTAAGGGTAGTTACTAAGCTGTAGGTAGCTATGTAGAGCCCCACAGCTTTTGCGGAGCCAGCAAAAAAACAGGCCAGCAGTTTAGGGCTGAGGGGTATTTAGAGGTATTTAGGGCGCATTTAGGGGGTATAAAGGCGGACTTTGGGTGTATTTAGGGGTATTTAGGGAATTTAGGGGTGTAGGGCTGAGGGTATGGGCTGCGAACGCAAGGAACGATTCTGGCAAAGCTGTTCAAAAGGATGGACAAAGACGGGAGTGGGCAGCTCCTCGGACAGCCGCTTATTATTTTATTTTGATGATTTTTTTTTTTTTTTTTTTTTTTTTTGGGGGGGGGGGTTGTTTTGTTTTGGGTTTAGCAGTTTCTTGCAATCAAAAACGCAATGCCCTGAAAACCCTAAACCCCTAAACCCCTAAACCCCTAAACCCCTAAACCCCTAAACCCCTAAACCCCTAAACCCCTAAACCCCTAAACCCCTAAACCCCTAAACCCTAAACCCTAAACCCTAAACCCTAAACCCGTTGATTCGGTTGGTGCGACAAACTGAGGCTGACTCTTTCGGAGCTCATCGAAGGAGCTTGCCGGGACCCTGCATTCCAGAGCCGGCTGCGCGTCATGGATGCCCGGGTGAACAGGGTTTAGGGTTTAGGGTTCAGGGTTTAGGGTTCAGGGTTTAGGGTTTACAGAAGATCAGGCTTCGGGTTTAGGTCTAGGGCCTCTTGTAAAGAGTCCTGAAAGCCATCCGAAACCCCCCCCCCCCCCCCCCAAACCCCTCAAAACCCCGAAACGATGATGGCCCTAGACCCTAAACCCTAAACTCTAAACCCTAAACCCTAAACCCTAAACCCTAAACCCTAAACCCTAAACCCTAAACCCTAAACCCTAAACCCTAAACCCTAAACCCTAAACCGTTGCGTTCTGGGCACAGGAGTAGTGAAAGCAAGTTGTCCGGGTGGAGGGGTTTAGAGGTTAGAGTCTCTGGGGATTGGGAGATCTGCTTTTGAAGTTCTACGGGTCCTCACCTCTGAATTTCCCCAGGGTTAAGGGGTTTAGGGTTTAGGGCTCAGGGTTGAGGATAGACGTTGAAAGTGAGTTCGGGCCCCAAACCCACCCCAGTAGGGAGGGCCAAGAAGCTGTAGTGGCTGGCTGGGACTGTCGCCTAGGTTTCGGGTTTCGGGTTTGCAGTTTCTTGGGTTAGCGTTTCGGCATAGCGTTCTTCGGCTTTAGGGTTTAGGGTTTTGTCTTCTTCTGGCTTTGCCAGTTGAACGGATAGGAAGAATGGATTCATGAGGTGCGTAACACTGGCAGAGAACTATTGAAAGCGCTCTAAACCCTAGAAACCCTAAACCCAAAAAACCAGCATTTCGAGCCCTCTAGAAGCCCTAGAAGCCCTCGAAACCCCAGAGACCCTAGACCCCAAAAAACCCTTAACCCTAAACCCTAAACCCTAAACCCTAAAACCCTAAACCCTAAACCCTGAACCCTAAACCCTCGAAATTCTAAACAGTGATCCCGCCAACTCAGGACATTGATGAACAGGACCTTGAGCAGCTGTTCCGGATGATTGACCAAGATCTTTGCCTGATTTAGGGCTCAGGGTTTTGGGGTTTAGGGTTTAGGGCTTAGGGTTTAGCGGTTTAGCCAACAGTCGATGTTTTTTTGGCACTTCTTGATCGCCTTGCCACGTAATTGCGTTGTGGAGAAGCCATATATTTCTGCGCCACGTATCCGGGAACCCTTGTGATCCCCCCCCCCCCCCCCCAACACAAAACAAGAACCGCAAACCCCCCCCAAAACAAGATACTTTGAACCAAGCGGTTGGGGGGCTGGGGGCTCAAAGTTAGGCCCTAAACCCAACACCCTAAACCCTAAAGCCTAAAGCCTAAACCCTAAACCCTAAACGCGAAACCCTAAACCCTAAACCCTAAACCCTAAACCCTAAAACCTAACCCCTAAACCCTAAACCCTAAACCCTAAACCCTAAACCCAATTAAGGATGGATCTGGAACGGTGGAAGTCTCCGAGTTCATTGGCCCCCTGAGCAGGCGGGCGCTCAACCCTAAATGCCCTGGGTTTAGCCAAACAGGTACCCTAACCCTGAACCCTGAACCCTGAACCCTGAACCCTGAACCCTGAACCCTGAACCCTGAACCCTGAACCCTGAACCCTAAACCCTAAACCCTAAACCCTAAACCCTAGCCCTAAACCCTAACCCTAAACCCTAACCCCTAAACCCTAAACCCTAAACCCTAGGTGGGCGCACGACAGCAAGACCGCCCCACGTTTTATCAAGTACAACCTCCTCCAGTCGATGCATCTCCAGGAGGAGTCTCTCAGGGCCCTGTTTGGGTTTAGGGTTTTGGGGTTTAGGGTTTAGGGTTTGGGGTTTTAGGGTTTCGGGTTTAGGAATACGAGTTGTGCGTACTGGTGCCCGCCCCTCCCCCCGCCAGTTGGATCACCCCCACCCCCCTCCCCCCCACCAGCAAAAAGCAATGCAACCTGATCCTGGCTGTCTGCGTACCCCAGAACCCTAAACCCTAAACCCTAAACCCGAACCCGAAACCCTAACCTCCACAAACCCTAAACCCTAAACCCTAAACCCTAAACCCTAAACCCTAAACCCTAAACCCTAAACCCTAAACCCTAAACCCTAAACCCTAAACCCTAAACCCTAAACCCTACATCCCCACACCAGGAGCTTCACGACATTGCCGCGGAGGGTTTTCAAGAGATGGCTGCAAGAATTGACGATCTGACCGGGATGGTTGAGAAGCTTGCGGTGGTCAAGCTAGACGCTGGGCCGCCGCCAGTTAGGGCTCGGGGTCCAGGGTTCTTGGGGTTCAGGGTTCAGGGTTTAGGGTTCAGGGTTTAGAGTTCAGAGTTTCGGGTCTGTAGGTCACTTTTTTTTTGTTGGCGCGTTGGGGGCTTAGGGCTTAGGTTTTTCGTTGTTGGGGTCCATTTCGGGGGATGCCACTCTACGTGGGAGGGGGGGTTGCACAGCGGGAACCTTATGCAGGGACCTCTAGAAGAGACCTTGAATCTGAATTCCCCTATACAAACCCTACATATACCTTATTTAGTCCCTATATACCTCAATAGCCGCAACGTAGCCCGTAAGGTCCCCTTACAAGTGCCCCTTTAGTCCCTTGGCTTCTGTTGGAAACTCCCACAATCCTTTCGGGGTTTAGGGTTTCCTTAGTTTCGATTCGAAGCGCGCCAACACGGAGTGGAACAAAGATTCCCTCAACCCCAAGCCCTAAACCCTAAACCCTCAACCCTAACCCTAGGGCCCAAGACCACAAATAATAAGGTCTTTGGGGCCCAAAACAGATGAAAGACCTTAAATAGTGGGGTCTGGGGCCCTTAGGGTAAACTCTCAACCCTAATACGCCCAAGCCCAGGCCGAGCCCGAACATGCGGAAGCGCCAAAGGAGCAACGACTATCGCCGGGCACAGCGGAGAGGCAGACTTCCGAAGGCGCTGAGGCTCCCACGGAGGACTTAGAGGCCTGTGAAACACAGGCCTCTTGGCTTCTGAACCCTAAGCAACTCATAGCAAATGAAGAAGAAGTAGAATCTGTGCTGTAGATTGGATTTGTGAGAATGTCTTACTATAAGAAAAGGAGAGCCCTAAGCCCTCAGCCCTGAGCCCCAAGCCCTAAGCCCTCAAGCCCTCAAGCCCTCAAGCCCTCAAGCCCTCAAGCCCTAAGCCCTAAGCCCTAGAAGCCCTAAGCCCTATAAGACCTCAGCCCTCAGCCCTCAAGCTCTGAGCCGGAGCCTGTGTTAGTTCGACGCACGCATGAGATTGCCACATCGTTCCAGAGTCCCTGAACTTGTTTTCTAGGATCACAGACGTATGTAGGGTTTAGGGTTTGAGGTTTAGGGTTTAGGGTTTAGGGTTTAGGGTTTAGGATTTAGGGTTTAGGGTTTAGGGTTTAGGGTTCAGGGTTTAGGGTTTAGGGTTTCGGGTGTGGGGGGGGGGGGGGGGGTTTGTCATGGATTACGAGCAGAAAAACCACTGCAGGGACTCGGGGACAGCAACCAGAAATCAGAAGACCCGACACCCGAAACCGGAAACCCAAACCTGAACCCTAAACCCTAAACCCTAAACCCTAAACCCTAAATCCTAAACCCTAAACCCTAAACCCTAAACCCGAGACCCAAACCTGAAGGACCTTCAGTCTTTGCCTAGGCACCGATCCATACCGTCGAGCCGGGCATCCATCAGCCACAGTGCTCACCTCAGCCAATGACACTTCTGGCGGCAACATCTGCGCAGAAGGGCGGTGGCTTGGTCACTCAGTGGTACCCGCTGCCCCTTGTTTTTTTCGGTTCTGGCTAGGTAGGCGCTGGGACATTGTATATTTTCCCTTATTGGGTTTAAGAGGATAACATCCAGGCATGTTTTCAGAGGCTTTGCTAGGTTCCCTTACAAGGTAGCCAACCCCAAACAGGGTTTCTTCTTCTTCTTCGGATGTTGGCAGGTAAGCGCACCTTGAATTCTGGAAAGCATGCGAATCAGAAAAAAAGCATGCCCCATGCATGTGCACTCGGCACTCCCAACCAGGGTTTAGCATTCAGGGTTTAGGGGTTTAGGGTTTAGGGTTTAGCATTCAGGGGTTTAGGGACAAGCTCCCTTGCTGAATGTGCTCGGTAGGCCCTGGCAACATTACATATCTTCCCTTATTGGGTTTAAGAGGATCGCGTGCAGGAATATTTTTCAGAGGGCCCCAAGGGCCATCTTAGTTAACTTAGTAGCTGAGTAGCCAACCTTTGACTTTTCGGGGTATATACAATCCTACCAGAATTGAAAGGTGAACTTTTTTGGGGGGTCAGGGCACTCGGCAACTGGGCTAGCACATGGTCACCATATTTCCGAGTATATTAATATGTGGCTACCATCTTCAGGAGTGTACTTCAGAGGGTTTCCTTGGTAGCCCAGTGGTACCCTTTGCCCAGTTTTTTTTTGCGCTGGGTTCCCTTATAAAGTAACTAGCCAAAAACAGGCTTCCCTGATTTTTATATGGTTGCTGGGCTACCAGGGTCACCCTGACCGAGGTGGTGATGTGAATGTGGCGATGATCGAGGCCAAGCTTGCCTCTGCAATGGCCAGACTTGAAGGTGACTTCGGTTGATCCCGATTCAGGGTTTAGGGTTAGGGCTCAGGGACTAGGGGGCACCTTATTGGGGTCCTTATCAAAAGGGAATCCTACTATTTTCGGGTCTATGTTAGGGGCCCCCTATTTTCGTAAACCCCCGTATATATCTGTGCTTGGTAGCCCAGTGCCAGTGGCAAACTTGATGTTTTTAATATGGGTCCCCTGATAAAGTGACCAACCCCAAAATGGAGCCTTTACTATAATCCATATATATATATATATTAATGCATATATGATAATTCATATGTGAGAATCCATTTATTGTTATACATATATTCTAGTACATATGGCTACTGGGCTACCAAGTATGGGTAGTTCTCTACATGAGGGTCCTCTTCGAGTTCCTTCCTTGAAGGGTGCCGTGCTAGAAAGAGGACCCGAAAGGGGCCCTAGTTTAGATGACTGCCCATATACATCCTCTCATAGGGCTTCAGAGGATCTCATGGAGGATTTTTTCTGAGGGCTAAACCCTAAACCCTAAACCCCAAACCCCAAACTGTCTCTATTTGGCAGCCAAGGCAAGTTGGACCAAATGCTCTCGGGAGGTAGAAGCCCAGTCGATTCGCAAGTGTTACACCCAATGCTGCCGGGATCCCGCGGCCACAGCCCGGCAGATCCACAAATGTCGCAAGAACGCCAGGTGGCTAGGTTGCTTTTGGGACCATTTTTACTATTCTCCTTATTTGGGCTTATAAAAGGGGCCCTATGTATGAACATTTTTCAAGTGGTTTAAGGGCCAACCTACAGGTGGTTGCAAGCATTGACATGGGTGTCTTTCATGCAGAGCGCGGGCGCCGCAAGGGGGCCAAGAAGACGCGCAACGTCGACGCGTTTCAGAAGATGTACATGGATGCCGGCCAAAGTAACGCAGATGCCTGGACTTCGCCAGAAGGTTGTTCCTTTGGTTTAGGGTTTAGGGTTGAGGGTTGAGGGTTGAGGGTTGAGGGTTGAGGGTTGAGGGTTTAGGGCTTTTGTTTCAAGCTTAGTTGGGAAGTTGGGATGCCCTAAGGACGAGCATGAGAGAGACCCACGGGATCCCAGTATCGCCGCGTTACTGCCTGATTTCCAGTTTTTGCCTCATATGCCGAATCTTCCGACTTTGCCAAACAGGCCAAGCATCAGATTGTAGTCTCACCCGCAGTTAGTCTCTAAATTCTTGCGCCTTACGCCCGAAACAGGGTCCGAATCTTTAGACGGCGGATTGGCCTCTGAATCCCAAATTGGCCGGCCCTGGGTCTATTGAGCCCACACAATCGCTGGGTGGCCACTGATTTTCACACGGACTGGAGCACAAAAGGGTTTCAGGTTTAGGGGGTTGGGGGTTTGGCGTTTAGAGTGTAGGGTTTAGGGAATAGGGTTTAGAGGGGTTTAGGGGTTAAGAGTTTGGGGAGGTGGGGCTTGGGTTTAGGGTGCCTCCGCATTTCAGGGGAGGGACATGGAAACTGAGCACAAAGCGTCGCTAAACCCTTCAGCCTCGAAACCCCAACACCCCTAAACCCCTAAACCCCGAATCAAACCCTAAACCCCTACATCCCTAAACCCTAAACCTTACAACCCTACGTAGGCTTTCTGGTCTCCGAGCCCGAAGACTCAAATCCTGCCAAGCCCTGGGCATCTGCTTGGGGCAAGGGCTTGGGGTTCAGGCGTTTCTGTTGTTGTTAGGCGTTTCTGTTGTTGTTGTTTTTTTTTTTTTGTTTTGGGGGGGGGGGGGGGGGGTTGGTTAGGGTTTTGGGGTTTTAGGGCTAGTCAGGGTTTAGGGCTAGGGTTTAGGGCCATTTTTGGAAGGGTTTTTTGCGGGGGGTCTGGGCACTGAAGGGCGCTACCCCAGGGGTTAGGGTTTAGAGTTTAGGGTTTAGGGTTTAGGGTTTAGGGTTTAGGGTTCAGGGTTTAGGGTTTAGGGACCAGGGACCATACTTTAGGGAAATATGGCCTTACGGGGTCCATGCAGTGACAAACTGAGGTATACTGTTTCTTTTGGGTTCGTCGGATCACTATCAAATGTGCGGAACTTTGGGTCCTGTGGGTGTTGGGATTCTTGAGGGCACGCTTTGGGATCTCGAAAGCTCACTGCAAAGCCCTCGCTAAGCGCTACATCCTAAACCCTTTTAGTTGCAACATGAAAGCATGGCATCTTTTTGAAGCCAGGTGTTTAGAAGCAACCCTCGAGAATTGGGAATGTATTGGGTTTATGGCTCCTGTCCGAACTCTCTAGAGGGACCCCGACGCTCCAATACTTCCGCCGAGGATTTATGGTTTGGGGGCTTTGGGGGTTTCGGTTCTCACTTTGGGCTTTGGGGGTTTTCCCTAAGCCTTACACCCCCAACTAGAAGGGTTAGCAACGGGATTGTAAAACTTTTGTGGTTTAGGCATGGGGATTAGGGTTCAGGGTGTAGGCTTCAGAGTCTTTAGTGCAGGAGTTCGCGTGATCGAAGTGTCGTTAGAGCCTCGTGGACTTCAACATGTAAGGGTTAAGGGCTCAAGTGTTTTGGCTGGATACCTCTCATATTTTGAGATGTTCCCCCCCCTATACTAACAGTCCTTAGTCGGGTTTCTATAGTACCCCCCGTACTATATTCCCGATTAAGGACTGTTAGAATAAGGGGGGGAACATCCCAACTCATATCGCCGAAGCGAGGACAGGAAGCGAGTTGCACGTTGGGAAGACTGCAGTTTACTGGCTCGAAAGGCTGATTCCGAGGCGCGCCATTGGCCCATCGGAGGGCCCCAGGCTATGGAAGCCATGGACGACGAAGCGCTTGACCCCCATACGCAGGACTGAATGAAGCCAAGCAATTCAGGGCGCCCTAAACCCTAAACCCCTAAACCTAAACCCCTAAACCCCTAAACCCCTAAACCCCTAAACCCCTAAACCCCTAAACCCCTAAACCCCTAAACCCCTAAACCCCTAAACCTAAACCCCTAAACCCCTAAACCCCTAAACCCCTAAACCCCTAAACCCCTAAACCCCTAAACCCCTAAACCCCTATACCCCTAAACCCCTAAACCCCTAAACCCCTAAACCCCTAAACCCCTAAACCCCTAAACCCCTAAACCCCTAAACCCCTACACCCCTAAACCCCTAAACCCCTAAACCGCCGAGTTTTCGGGGCTTGGGTTCAGGGTTCAGGCTCTGACACCAGATACAAAGGGGTTTAGGGTTTGGGGTTTAGGGTCTAGGGCTTATCCTAAACTCTACCAGTCGAAGTTGGTAGAAGAGCTGGCTGGCTGCTAGGCGCGGTTCATTTCAAGACACCCCCGGGCCTTCACCTCAAATTTGGGGATGTTCCCCCCCCCCTCTCCCTTATACTAGCAGTCCTTAACAGGGATCCTAATCCCCCCGCCCCCTCCTAGTCCTTAATAGGGATTCCAATAAGGGAGGGGGGTACTAGAATCCCTATTCAGGAGCTGCTAGTATAAGGGGGTACTTCCCTAAACCCTAAACCCTAAACCCTAAACCCCAAACCCCAAACCCTAAACCCTAAACCCTGAACCCTGAACCCTAATCCCTAAACCCTAAGAATTTCTCAAAGGACTTCTCGGACCCCACGAGCAGCCTCGGCAGGGTAAAGAGTGAGAAGAAGAAGGTGAAGCTTCGGCGTCTTCAGAACGAGTTCTCTTGGTTTAGGGTCTAGGGTTTAGGGTTTAGGGTTCTCTCCTTTTCTCCAATTTTCGGCCTATATAGAACCCCAAAGGACTATGACAGGTAATTTGTTTCGATTCAGGTGCCTAAAAGAGAGTAAGAAAGGAAATTGGCCGGCAGCTTCGTGCACTCGTCTGCGGATCCGCGGCAGCACCACTGCAACTTGGCTTTCTTCGGGTTTAGGGTTTAGGGTTTAGGGTTTCGGGTTTAGGGCTCTCAAAACTTTATCCTTTCGGGTTTGGGATGTTCTACTAACAGTCCTTAATGGGGATTATAGGACTCCCTATTCGAGTCCCTATTAAGGACTGTCAGTATAAGGGGGAAATTCCCATTCTTTGGGGTTCTTGGTAGAAACTACAAGAAGGAGCCGAAGAGTTAAGCTTTTAGGCGGGGTTCAGAAGGGTTTAGGGTTTAGGGTTTAGGGTTCAGGGTTTAGGGTTTAGGGTTTAGGGTTTAGGGTTTTAGGGTTTAGGGTTTAGGGTTTAGGGTTTAGGGTTTGGGAAGTCAACCAAGGGAAGAGGCTCCGGAAACTCCTCGCAAGCATCCACCTGGCCAACTTTATGGCGCTTGTGGTTCTGGTGGATGCATATTGAACCTTGAAGGCTTGAGCAGGTATCCTTTTTTTTGGGTTTAGGGTTTAGGGTTTAGGGTCTAGGGGGGGTATTTTGAGTTGAGACTGACAGGCTTCTGCCCCTTTGTCTCCCCTGAGTAAGCTGAGCCAGCAAGGCACGTGCGTTGATATTGACGCAAGTGCAGCGGGCGTTCACACACCTGGCATCTTCACGACGATCGCAACGATGTGTCTGGTGATGTACACTCTCGAAGCAGCGGCCTTGCTTCTTGCCTTTGGCCCGAGGCTCTTCTTCAGCGACTGGATAGGGACGCTCGATGTGATCATCGTGTCGTGCGGCTGGGCGGAGAAGGTCATAACTGCAGCGGGCGTGGGATCCATTGGCTTCCGCACGGCAGTGCTGCGTGCTCTGCGGCTGGTGAGGATTTTCCGCCTCTTGCGGTCACTGAAGCTTGCTTTTCACAGCAAAACCCCCTGAACCCTAAACCCTAAACCCTAAACCCAAAACCCTAAACCTTAAAACCTTAACAACCCAAACGCTCCCCAAGAACCACTGCAAAGTCACTCCAAGGAAGAGGATCCGGGCCTTGCGCGAGCTGTACAAGCTGCTTGCTGTTGGTTAGTAGAGTGAGGGAATGAGGTACCCTATATAGTCCCTTAAAGGGTATATATATATATATAGGGGGATATAGGGTACCCTTATATAATCCCTTTAAGGGTGTGTATATATATATATATAGAGATAGGGGGGGGGGGTATATAGGGTACCCTTATATAATCCCTTTAAGGGTATATATATATATATATAGGGGGTATATAGGGTACCCTTAAATAATCCTTTAAAAGGGTGTATATATATATATACATACATAGGGGGATATAGGGTACCTCATTCCCTCATTCCCTACTAAAACCCAAAACCCTAACCCCGAAACCCTAAACCCCTAAACCCCTAAACCCTAAACCCCTAATCCCCTATATAATCCCTAAGCAACAGTAAGGCTGGCCCTGATGATGGCCACGTGCTTCAAGGCCCTGCTCTGGTGCTTTCTGCTCTGCTTCATGGTGATGACCGTGCCTTGGGGGCCCTAAATACACCCTTCTTTTGGGGGGGGGGGATTATTGTTTAGGGTTTAGGGTTCAGGGTTTAGGGTTTAGGGTTTAGGGTTCAGGGTTCAGGGTTTAGGCCTACTAGGACCCAGAGCAGACCCCGATTCCCCTTCTTACGGTTCAGGTTCCTTGAGGTCTGGCATAAAGGCCTGCATGTTTAGATGGGCTCATGGTCTGGGGTATACGATGCCGGGAAAATGGGACCTTGCACCCTAAACCCTAAACCCTAAACCCTGCAGCATTTGTTTGGTTCTTTCAAGGGGCGAGAGGTTTTTCAAGGGCTGATGGTGCATGGCATCCGCCCTGCACTCATAAGTGGAGTAGCCCTAGACCCTAAACCCTGAACTTCCCCTAAACCCTAAACCCAAAACCCTAAACCCCAAACCCTAAACCCTAAACCCTCAACCTTCAACCCAAGGTCTGGGCCATGCTGATGGTGGAAGTCGTAAGCCCGTACGTGCGGGAGATGGGCGTCTTCAGTAGCTGCCCACAATGCACGCGGGCTGTGTCCTCGGTCCCTGGGCTTCAGCTCTAGGGTTTAGGGCGCAGGGCTTCGGGTTTAGGGTTTAGGGCTAGGGTTTAGGGCTAGGGTTTAGGATTTAGGGTTTAGGGTTCAGGGTTTAGGGTTGGTTGCTGGATTAGGCTTCCCTGGGGTCTAGGGTTTGCCCATCTCGTGACTTGGGGTGTCGGGTTTAGGGTTCGCACTGGCCATATACACCATAACTCTAAACCCTTAGATCCTAATAGCCCAAACCCTAAACCCCACTAAACTACCCTAAACCCCAAAATCCCTAAGAATCCCTTTCTGCAGTTCTGGACATGCAGAGGTGATGGATGCGAACCTGCTGCTGTTCAAAACAGTGATTGCTGGCGATTCATGGGGCGAAGTGGCTGTACCTGTCATCCAGGTGGGGAAACCCTACACCCTAAACCCTAAACCTGAAACCCCAAACCCTAAACCCCAAAGCAGGACTTTGCAAGCTCAGGGCTTAAACTAATTTTGAAAAAGAGGGCTTCCCGCTTCCCCGAAGGCAGGGGGGTGGGCAGGGGTTCTCAAGTATCGATGGCACCGCAGACCTTCCTCAACGGGTTAGGGTTTAGGGTTTAGGGTTTAGGGTTTAGGGTTTAGGGTTTAGGGCTTAGGGTTCCCCTCAACCCATACGAGCGTTTACTACGGGAGTTGCGTGGCCCCTTAGTTTGGTCCCTCGCCATCGTTCAAGGGTTCTAAGGTATGGGTTTTTGGGGTTTTTGAGTTTGGGTTTCTTAGCTAATGTATAACCCCAAAACCCAAACCCTGAACCCTAAGCCCTGAGCCCTAAACCCTAAACAATAAACCCTAAACCCTAAACCCTAAACCCTAAACCCTAAACCCTAAACCCTAAACCCTAAACCCTAAACCCTAAACCCTAAACCCTAAACCCTAAACCCTAAACCCTACAGGAGCATCCTGAGACAGCCGTCATCTTCATCGGCTCTTCTCTCTCCCTGGTCTTCGGCGTTCTGAATCTTATTGCGGCTTTGTCTCTGCAGATAGGGTTTAGGGTTTAGGGTTTAGGGTTTAGGGTTTTGCGTTTAGGGTTTAGGGTTTAGGGTTGAGGCTTTAGGGTTTAGGGTTGAGGCTTCAGGGTTTAGGGTTTTACTAGGGTCCCTTTTTTTCGGGTTTAGGTTCCCTTTCGGGCCCCTGAGTTATTGCAGCTTTGCTTTTGCAGAAAGTGATGGGTTTAGGGTGGCCCTGGGGATTAGGGCACTGCTATAGGGTTTAAGGGTGCTTCAATAAACCCTAACCCCCAAACCCTTAACGCCAAACCCCAAACCCCAAACCCCAAACCCTAGACCCCAGACCCCAGACCCCAAACCCCAAACCCCAAACCCCAAACCCCAAACCCCAAACCCCAAACCCCAAACCCCAAACCCCAAACCCTAAACCCTAAACCCTAAACCCTAAAGGGGCCCTAAACCCTAAAGGGTTTAGGGTTGGGGGTTCACGGAAGCTGGAGCCCTAACTTTCTTCCTTCTGCATGTCCGCTATCCAAACAACCTGGTGGCGTTCGGCTTCAAAGCCGACCACCTTCCTAGTCTTCTTGTGGTCTTTGCTGCAGAAATTCTAGAGTTTCGGGTTTAGGGTTTGGGGTTTAGGGTTTAGGGTTTAGGGTTTCGGGTTTCACGTAGCCTCATGGTAGCCCCATATTTCCTCCACAAAATATGGCAGGTGAGGTAGGCCCGATGTTTCCCCCTTCCTTGTGACATGTAAGGCCTGCCACCCTGCGCCCTCAACCCCAAGTTCCTTTGGGACGAAATGAGCCCTAAAATTTGGGGTCATATACCCTGACTACTATAATTCCTATTAAGGTATATGAACCATAAACCCTTTCAGGGTTCATTTCGTTCCCAAGGTTAGCGAAACCTTTGCCCGCTTTTGGGTGACCATGCATACCACCAGTCGACGAGGATCCAGGACAAGTTCGCTATCCTGAGAGCACCTCGTACACCGGAATGCATCGAACACAGGCAAAAGCATCATCTCGAAGGTCATGTCATGCTATCCATCCAGAATGGGCAGGGTAGGGTTCGTAGGGTGGGCATTCGACTGCCACGCAGAGCCCCGCTCTGTGCAAATCTTCCCTTCTGGCAATCTTCGGCAGCGACTGCTGCGAGTCTGGGTTGCGCAGTGAAACCTGATGGATGCACGTTCAACGCAGATGCAGAGCCCGTGTTGAGTGTTCCCCTGCCCCTCATCACAAAGCGCAGACTCAATTTCCGAGATGATCCTGCCTGCACTGCATGAGCAAGCTATCAACCTGGAGGGCATGCTACTGGTCTTACCTATCTTCAGTCCACCATGGCACGCTGTTGGTTCAGAATTCCCGTAGCTTCTTCAGTTTGCTTGTCCCATCTCGCCATGCTGAGTGGATACCCTGTGTCAACCCGCCAAGAGTTGCAGCTGGCAGTCGCCAGAGGTTTGGACCCCCGAATGCCATGGATCGAGAATGTTGCCAAGAACGTGGAGACAGTCAGACGTGTCTTTAAGACCCCGTCGCACGCCGCTGTCGAGCGGTTAACTGGTTGCACTCTGACATTGGACGAGTGGGAGAAAGTTCGTCACCTCTGGTGGAAGCTGCGCAAAGACACCGACGAGAAGACGAAGGGCGCTTTGGATTCGATATCCTGCGAGGGCCCCTCCGTCTTCTCAGAGGGCAGCCAGTTCGGAGGCAGCGACGCTCAGAGCGAGGGCGGGGAGTATCATGTGGAGTTGGAGGCCATTCACGTGGAGCCCTTCCGAGGAAATGTGTTCGAGGACTACGCGAGCTTGCGGGACACGATCTCTGAGGTCCACGGGCTCCCGATAAGAGTGATGATGCGTGCCAGTCTTGAGTTTGCTCAGAGCCATCTTGGCATCGAGATATCCGAGCTCGCGGTCAGGCAGTTCATGAGACAGACCTTGACCGCGTTCCATTCCGATGAGGGGCTGCCATTTCCGGATGAAGATGTTGATGTAGATATTGGCTTCAATTCTCAGTACATGGATCATGTCTTTTCCTGGCTGACAACACCGGCAGACATATCCTCGTTACGATTTGAAGATGTTTGAGCGCCGCTGCAAACATTGCAGCTGAGCTTTTTGAAGGCTGCTCCAACGCAGCTCGGGAACTTCTCACGGGTCACGATGGCATGACAAGGCTGAGAGCACGGTGAGATGAAAACGTGCTATAGCAATTCGCTGGAAGCACACGTCCTCCAATAACATGCGTTAGGGAGTGCCATGTTCAACGGTTGGTCTTGAGTGGGCCGAGGTCGCCGTTGTGGTCGACACCTTTGCAGATGCTCCTTAAGGGTATTTGGGAGCAGTTGTTTTGTTTGGGGGTACTTTAATTCATAAAAAACGGCTTCCAATTTTTTGGGTTCGGGTGCCAAGTTCAGTAAAGGCTCGGCAACATGACGTCCAGAGCTTGGCCGAAGAGATGGAGGTGGAGATCGACCACGATCGATGCTCGCCGTCCTTGCAGGTCCTTTTGAAAACGAGCCGGTGCAAACTCGACTTATGGGGTTTTGGGTTTAGGGTATAGGGTTTAGGGGATATCGGTTTAGGGTTTAGGGGATATGGGTTTAGGGTTTAGGGTTTAGGGTTTAGGGTTTAGGGTTTAGGGTTTAGGGTTTAGGGTTTAGGGTTTAGGGTTTAGGGCTACGATGCGGAGGAAAGATCTTGGCAAAGCTGTTCCAGCGGATGGACCGAGACGGGAGTGGGCAGCTCCCAGGATGGCCCACATAGCAGCCGGGGTTTAGGGTTTAGGGTTTAGGGTTTAGGGTTGAAGAATGTTGTCTAGGTTTAGGGTTTAGGGGATTTAGGGGGTTTAGGGGATTTAGGGGAGTTAGGGCATTTTGGGGATTTAGGAGATTTAGGATTTAAGGGATTTAGGGGATTTAGGGTGTTTAGGGTTTAGGGCTTAAAGGATGTTTTCTCAGAAGGTTCCTAAACCTTACATCTTGCCAGTGATGAAGCTCTTAAGAGCCCATATGCCCGTTTTTGTTTTGCACTTTCTTCAGGCCCCAAACCCTAACCCCTGCACCCTGAACCCTCCCCTCAACCCTTAACCCTTAACCCTAAACCCTCAACCCTCAACCCTCAACCCTAAACCCTAAACCCTAAACCCATTGATTCAAAGGTTACTGGGCAACCGAGGCTGTCTCTTCAGGAGCTCATAGAAGGAGCTTGTCAAGACCCAGCCTTTCAGAGTCGGCTGCGGGTCATGGATGCTCGGTTTTGGGGCGCGTTTTGGGTGAGTCCAAAGGATTTAGGGTTTAGGTCCTAAACTTTAGGATTCAGGGTTTGGGGTTTAGGGTTCAGGGTTCAGGGTTTGGGGTTTAGGGTTTATAGGGTTTAGGGTTTAGGGTGCGCAGGGTGGGGGGGGCGTCGGGTTTAGGGGGGTTTAGGGTGTATGGGGCTTTTCCGCAGCTTGACAAACGACCTTTGCAGCCCTGGAAGCTCTGCCCTTAGAATAGCGCTACCGTTGAGAGGGTTCCAAGTATGGGCCTTTAGGTTGGGTCCCTTGTTATATAGCCCTTACATACACTATAAATAAACATTATAAATATAAATATATAAATATAGAAATATAAATATATAAATATAAAAATAAATACAAATATATATATATATATATATATATATAAATGTAAATGTAAATGTAAATGTAAATGTAAATAAATAAATAAATATATATATATATACTAAGGGCCCATACTTCGGACTTCTACAGGGAAGGGAACGTAGCAGGTTTCCAACCTAAGAGCTCAGGACATTGATGAGCAGGACTTGGAGCAGTTGTTCCACATGATCGACCAAGATCTTGGGCTGATTTAGGGCTTAGGGTTTAGGGTTTGGGGTTTAGGGTTTAGGGTTTAGGGTTTTAGGGTTTAGGCTTTGGGGTGTATTGAGCTCACCAGCAGACATTTTCAGATGCCCTCGTCTTGTGTTTTTTCAGCTGGGAATCCCGAAGCCCGGAGATACACCTAGGTCCAACATCCCCAAACCCTAAACCCCGAAACGCATGCTGAACACAGCTTCGCCCGTTCATTCCCTGACTTTTTCTGCCCGCTAAACCCTAAACCCTCTAAGAAACTAGAAACTAGAAACTAGAAACCCTGAACCCTAAAGCCTAAACCCTAAACCCTAAACCCTGAACCCTAAACCCTAAACCCTAAACCCTAAACCCTAAACCCTAAACCCTAAACCCTAAACCCTAACCCTAAACCCTAAACCCTACAGATGTGAAAGGATGGATCTGGATCGGTGTGGAGGTGGCAGTTTCATTGGCCCCCTGAGCAGGCGAAAGAATCTAGGGTTTAGGGTTTAGGGTTTAGGGTTAGGGCTTAGGGTTTAGGGTTTAGGGTTAGGGTTCAGGGCTTTCCCCTAAAGCCCTGTTGTCCTAGTATCCTCATATCCCATTTCCCTCATCTCCCTAGCGCCATAAACCCTAAACCCCAAGCCCTAAACCCTAGCCCTAAACCCTGAACCCTGAACCCTGAAACCCTGAACCCTGAACCCTGAACCCTAGCTCTAAACCCTAGCCCTAAACCCTAAACCTGAACCCTAGGTGGGCGCATGACAGCAAGACCGCACCGCGCTTCATCAAATACAACCTTCTGCAGTCGATGCATCTGCAGGAGGAGTTCCCTGGGGTTCTTGTTGGGATCCGCTGGGTTTAGGGTTTAGGGGTTTTGGGTTATTGGGTGTAGGGTTTGGGAGTTAAGGGTTTAGGGGTTTAGGGTTACTGGGTTTGTCTAGGGTTTTAGGGTTTTAGGGTTTAGGGTCTCAAGGCTACAAACCCTGCAACCCTGATCCCGTCGAATTCGCGTCTCCACCAGGAGCTTCACGACATTGCCATGGCGGGCTTTCAGGAGATGGCTACGAGAATTAACGATCTGACTGGGGTGTTGAGAAGCTGAAGACCACAATGGTCGACCAGGACCCTATAACAATGGGGCTATATCCCCCTTGGGAATTATTATGTTTAGTTTTTGTTTGTATAAAACCCAAGAGGATATTAAGAGTAGTGTTTTAATGAGGTTCTAAGGGGAGTATAGGGGGGGGGGTGGGGGTTCCGAATACGTCTGGTTCAAGTGGTCCTTCTTGTTGGGGGTTTTCTAAACTCTATATGTGGGGGTACAATGGGAGACCCTACCCATACCGACCCCCCCCCCCCCCCCCGGGCCAAAAAAAGAAGAAAAGCCAGGAACAAGAGCCTATGGATGCGCCGAGGGAAAACCGGCTATCGGCATTCGATACATCGCAAAGGCGATCTTTCAAAACTGAGAACCCAGCGGCGAACCTGGAGACCTGTGAAACGCAGGCTCCTCGACTTCTGAATCCTCAGCCCGAAGCCCCAAAACCCTAAGCACCCATATAAGCCCTCAAGCTTTAGCTGTGAAGCTCGAGCCCTGTGTTAGCTCGGCACACATGTGAGATTGCCACGTCTCCGAACCTTCTTTCCAGACTTGGGACACGTCCCTGAACCCGTTGTCACGGTTCCGGGGGCGTAGGCGTAGCGTGGTTTGCGGATCACGACGACAATCGTAGATGTGACCTGAAATGCCAGGACCCCGGACAGCAGCCAGAAAACTGAAGACCCCAAACCCCAAACCCTGAACCCTAAACCCGAAACCCTAAACCCTAAACCCGAAACCCTAAACAGTACACTTTCACTCTTTGCTCGCTCAGGCATCGGTGCCTAGTACGGAGCCAGGGATCCAGCAGCCACAATGCTCACCTCAGCCCGTGAAGCTTCTGGCGGCAGCTGGGCTGGCTTTTTGGAACATATGTTATTGTCCTTACTTGGGTTTTTTTAGGGACCCTATAAATAATTAATTAAGTAATCAAATAAATATATAAATAAATATATATATATATATATGTGTTTTTTTGAGGGTTTGAAGGCCAACCGAGGCAACGCTCGAGCGGAAGGGCGGGGGTGATGCGAATCTGCCGATCATCGAGGCCTTGCTTGCGTCTGCAATGGTCAGAGTCGAAAGCGGCTGGGTAGGGTCTGGGTGTTTTTTTCATTTTCATGCGTGAAATCTGTGCAAGAAGTATCTCGTGCTAGAGGAGATTGCGCAGAAAGATCTTTCAGAGCTTCTAGAGCTTCTACTAAATGAGTGTTAGGATCCTTTTTACTTTTTGGGTTATGGGCTTTCTTATATATAAACAAAAAGGATCCTTTTTTCTTCCTAGGGGAACAGGGATTAAGTCTATATACATGACAACCAAGGCAAGTTGGACCAAATACTTGCGGGATCCCGTGGTCACAGTCCATCAGATCCACTAGAGCCTCTGGGCGTTCCTTGGGGACGACATGAACCCCAAAAGGGTTTAAGGTTCATTCTGGTTCATATACCTTAATATGGTTCATTATGGTTCATATACCTTAATATGGTTCATTATGGTTCATATACCTTAATAGGAAGTATAGTAGTCAGGGTATATGACCCCCAATTTTGGGGTTCCTTTCGTCCCAAAGGTCGCAAGCGCAGACATGGGCGTCTTCCAGATCGAGCGAGGGCGCCGCAAGGGGGCCAAGAAGACGCGCAACCTCGAAGCGTTTCAGAAGATGTACATGGATCCCGGCCAAAATGGCGCAGATGCCCGGATACTTCAGAAGGTTGTTCCCTTTTGTTCCCCTTCAAACTTGCTGTTGAGATTCCATCAACTTCAGAAGCCCCCCCCCATATTCTCTATATTCTAAGAACTCTATAGTGGGAGTATTTAATATTACGGGGCAGGGGTGGGTAATAAAAGGACGAAGGGATAAGAGTCTCTTGGCCGTCTTAGCCAAGGACGAACAAGAGAGAGATGGGGGTCCCAGGATTGCCAATCTTCTACCTGATTTTCAATTTTTGCCCAACTTGCCTAACCTGCCGAATCTTCCCAATCTGCCTAACCGGCCGAGTGTAGCATTGCACACGTAGTTTCACCGTCTCTTGGCCGGCCGCCCCTGAGCATGCCAAATCGCTGCTGGGTGGCAGCTGAATTCCGAATGGCCAAGATAGCCCTGAACCCTAAACCCTAAATCCTAAACCCCAAGCCCCATATAAACCCTAAACCCTGAACTGGCTCAGCGCCTCTTTGACATTGAAAGTTACCTTTGTCTAAGGCCCTGTTTTCACAAAGCAAGGGCGCCTCGTTGGGGGGCCTTAGAAATGGGGGATTAGGGTTTAGGGTTTAGGGTTTGCGTTATGGAGCCCAAACGGTTTCGATACAAAAGGGGCACCACGATATTTTTTGAGAAATGCCTGGTTGGTTAGGTAGGGCTTGAGGCGGTCGAGGAGACCGGGTCTGATTGATCGAGCCTAACCCCCAAACTCAAGCCCTAAACCCTAAACCCTAGACCCCAAAACCGCACCGCAGGGTCTAAAGACCCCGGTTTCACGGAATCTCTGGTCTCGCAACGGCCTGAAAAAGGTTTAGGGTTGAGGGTTAAGGGGAATTTGGGTTTTGCAGAAGGCCTCTTGTTGGTGGGTTTATAGGTGGCCGTCTTCGGTAGCAAGGCACCAGGGCTTTGAGTGCTCATGGGGTTGCAGCAAGGGTTTAGGGTTCAGGGCTTAGGGTTTAGGGTTTAGGGCTTAGGGCTTAGGGCTTGGGGTTTAGGGTTTAGGGATCCTAAACCCTGAACCTGAACCCTGCTGCTTTGTGAGGTTGAGGGGGCAGGCTGGGAAGGCCCCAATCCACAACAGCTTTGTGACC